CCTTTGATTTATGCGTGTTGATTTTATATCCTGCCACTTTGCTGAATTCATTTATTAGCTCTAATAGTTTTTTTGTAGACCCTTTTGGGTCTGCTAGGTATAGAATCATGTCACCTGCAAATAGTGATAATTTAAGTTCTTCTTTTCCTATTTTTATGCCTTTAATTTCTTTCGTCTGTCTAATTGCTCTGGCCAGTGTTTCGAGAACTTTGTTGAACAGAAGTGGTGAGAGAGGGCATCCCTGTCTTGTTCGAGATTTTAGAGGGAATGCCTTCAATTTTTCTCCATTCAGAATGATGGTAGCCTGATGCTTAGCATAGATTGCTTTTACAATATTGAGGTATGTTCCTGTTATCCCTAGTTATTCTAGAGTTTTGAACATAAAGGGATGCTGTACTTTGTCGAATGCTTTTTCCGCATCTATAAAGATGATCATATGGTTCTTGTTTTTAAGTCTAATGATGTGGTGAATAACATTTATTGATTTCCGTATATTGAACCAGCCTTGCATCCCAGGGATGAATCCTACTTGATCATAGTGCACAATTTTTTTGATATGTTTTTGTATCCGATTCGCCAGAATTTTATTGAGGATTTTTGCATCTAGGTTCATTAGAGATATTGGTCTGTAGTTTTCTTTCTTTGAAATGTCTTTGTCTGGTTTAGGTATCAGGGTGATGTTGGCCTCGTAGAATGAATTTGGAAGTTCTCCCTCTTTTTCTATTTCCTGAAGTAGCTTGAAAAGTATTGGTATTAGTTCCTCTTTAAAGGTTTTGTAAAACTCTGCTGTATACCCATCCGGTCCTGGGCTTTTCTTAGTTGGTAGTCTTTTTATGGTTTCTTCTATTTCCTCAATTGATATTGGTCTGTTTAGGTTGTCTATATCTTCCTGACTCAATCTGGGCAGATCATATGACTTAAGAAATTTATCTATGCCTTCACTATCTTCTAATTTATTGGAGTATAAGAATTGGAGTATAAGGCCGCTGCGCCTGTTCTGCCGGTGGGTCGCAGGCCCGCCTACCTTGGAGGTGTAGTTGGCAGCTCTGCCCCTCCGCAGGCCACTGGGCCTTTTCTGTCGGTGGTCACAGTTCCCTTTATAGTTTTGGTGAACAGTTTTCTGTCATTTGTTTTCCCTTAATAGTTGAGAAGTGTGTTTTCTCTTGTTACTTTCAAGATTTTTTGTTTGCTTGTATTCAGAAGTATGACTGTATTGTGTCTTGGTGTTCATTTCTTTGAGTTTATTCATTTGGGGGATTTATTCTTCTTCCTGAATCTGCAGGTTTGTATCTGTTACTACATTAAGGGGGAATTTCTGTTACTTTTTTCATTTTATATTTTTATTAGAGTGTATTTTTAAACAGACATACAGAAAAATATTTAGAGAGTATAATTTCCCTATTCTTCCTACGGTTTCTACTATTATTAATGTGGTACATTTATTACCATTGATAAAGCAATATTAATACACTATTAACATTACACACTTTCATTAGGATTTATTCTTTGTGTTGTATAATTCTGTGGATTTGATTAACAAACACATAATAGCACATACTCATCCTTATACTATCAGGCAGAATAGTTTCAGTGCTTTAACAGTGTCCTATGCTCTACATTGTCATCATTTTTATCTCCCATTGTAGTCTTTTTATTGTCTTCTGTAATTTTGCCTTTTCTAGAACCTCATATAGTTGGAATCATTCAGTATACAGACTTTTTAGAGTGACTACTTTCCCTTAGCAATATTCAGTTAAATTTCCTACATGCTTTTGCTTTTTATTGTTAAATAATACTCCATTGTATGAATGGGCTATCGTTTGTTTATTAATTCATGTATTGAAGGGCATCTTTGTTGCTTCTAAATTTTGTCATTTATAAGTAAGACTACAATTTTTTTGTGTATGCATGTTTTTTTTGTGTGTGTGTATGTGTGTGTGCACATACACATGCATGCATAAGTTTTCTACTCATTTGGGTAAATTCCTAGGAGTGCAGTTGGTGAATTGTATAATTAAACTGTGTTTAGTTTTTTTCTTCCTGTGCTCAATTTTATACTTGTTCTTTGTCTTCCAATGTGCCTGTGCTATTTTGTATTCCCACATCAGTGAACAGATTTCTTATTGATGTGTCCTCACCAGCATGACATTATTTCTTAATATACTTTTTTAAGTCTTTTCCTAGCTCTCTATCTTCTCTTATTCCAGGACTCAGTGACATGAACATTAAGTATTTTCTTGTTTTTGACATAGTTCTAAGGTTCTTGCAGTTGTGATTATTTCTTTTTTATTAGTGCATTACAATTGTAAATAATTATGGGGTTCATTTTGACATATTCATCAATGCACATAATTTGCTACTGTTCAATTCCTAGTACGGTCCCCATCATCCCCCTCCCTCCCCCAATTACTTTCCTGTACTCTATTGGTATTCCTTATATTAATTTGTTTAACTCGTGCATTACAGTCGTACATACATATAAGTGGAATTTATTGTGATATGTTCATGCATGCACATTGGCACAGGTACCGCCTTCCTTAAGCAAATAAAACAAGAATGTGAAGAGAGAGCCTACATAATGAGAGAAAAATCTTTGTCCCATTACTCTATTGACAGGATATTAATAACTAGAATATATAAAGAATTCAAAAAAGTTAATGCCAAAAAACCCCTCAAAAATCAGTGGATAAATGATCTAAATAGACATTTCTAAAAGGAAGAAATAGAAACCAACAAATATATGAATAAAACGTTCAGGGCTGGGGCTGTAGCTCAGTGACAGAGCACTTGCCTAGGATGTGTGAGGCACTGGGTTTGATCCTTAGTACTATATAAAAATAAACAAAGGCATTCTGTCCATCTACAACTATAAAGAATTAAAATGTTCAACATCCTTAGCAGCCAGGGGAATGCAAATCAAAACTCAGTGCAATTTCATCTTTGTATAGTAAGAATGACAATCATAAAGAAAAATAATAATAATAAATATTGGTGAGAGCGTGGGGGAATAGGCAGACTCATACATTGTTGGTGTGACTTCACACTAGGATAACCTCTTGGAAACCAGTATAGAGATTCATGAAAAAATGACCCAGCTACCTGACTCTGGTATTTATCAAAAAGAGCTAAAATCAGCATACTAACGAGATACATCCATACCAATGTTTATGTCAGCACAATTCACAATAACTAAGTAATAGAAACAGCTTAGATGTCATTCAATAGATGAATGAATAAAGAAATTGTGATATGTATTTATGATGGGGTTTTACTCAGCCATAAAGAAGAGTGAAATTATGGGATTTGTTGACAAATGGATGGAAGTAGAAAACATAATGCTATATGAAATAAGCCAGACTCAAAGTCAAGAGTTGAAGGTTTTTTCCTCATATGTGGAAGCTAGAGAGATATAGGATTTTTTTTTTTAAAGAAGGACCCCATGTAAACAGAAGCTCAGTGGAGCAGAGGATCAGAATTGAGGGGGAAGGAAGAGGGATGAGAAAGGGAAGTAATGGCAGAATGAAATTGGTCACTTTTTATAGTTCTCTTTTCTCTTTATAGTTAATATTATATCATTTTATTGTCCTACATTCTGGTTTACTGATTCTTTCCTGTCTCTCCTCTTATTATGCTGCTGAATCCATGCAGCATGTTTTGTTTCTTTGATGAAACTTTCTGGTTTATTTTCCATGATTTTCTGTTTTTTTTATTGGTTTCAAGTGATTGTTGAAACATTTTTATAATGTCTGCTTTAAGGTCTTTGTCCGATAATTTAAACATCTTTTTCCTTTTTTTGCTAACATGTATTGTTTTTGTTTCATTCAGTTTGGTGTTTCTATGTTTCTTGGTATAACAAGGTGATTTTCTATTGATATCTGGACATTTTGATTATTATGCAGAGATATTGCATCTTATTTTAACCTTCTGTTGGAGCTGGTGTTAGTACATGTGCACCTATAGGGGAAGGAAAAAGCTTTTGCCATGTTATTACCAAGAGAGAGTATAAGTCCCTGTTTTCGCGCATCCTCTGTGAACTTTCAAGAGGAAGGGATCTCATTTCTGCTTAACAGCAGTGGCTGGTCCAGTTCTCTTCCAGATGTCTGACTCTTTCTTGGCTAGGAGGAATTTGTGATGCCTAGTTCTAATCCTGTGTGTTTTTTAATTTTTATTTTCAATTCTTCCTTTTTAGATAATCCATAGCCATCATTTAGCTATGGCTGATGCAGTTTTGTTTTTTATCTTAGGTTTTGTGTATTCTCCCATATTCCTTGTTGGTGTAGAGTGACTTTGTCTTGAGCCAGTATATAAAATTTATTATTGTAGTCAGTTGCTCATAGCCTTGTGTGGTACAGATTCAGTTTGTAATTGGTGGTAGTGTGGGCCAGAGTATAAAGACTTTTAAACTTATCATGTTTTATTTGAAAGAATACATCAGAATTAGTGAACAATGGTTGAAAAACTGAAATGGTTTTAAAAGCAATACATTTCTTGTCACTTTGACAATGTAGTCAAATTGTGGTAAATATAAAAATGGGAATAGTTTGGAAGAAATAAAGGAAAGACGTGCATAAAAACTCCAAAATTGATGTATTCTTGTGCATCTAAATATAATCCTGAGTCTGGGAATTATTTCTCCAACTTAGATTTGGATAATCTATAAATTATTGGTTAAGTAATGATGTTGCTTTGGAGATAAATAGTGAGCTCTGTACATAATACCTGAGAGTGATTTGATGTACCATCTCCAATCTGTACTCTTTTTACAAAACTTAAAAAGTTTATTTTATCATGCTTAAGTTTGTTTTTTTTCATGGGGATAGACCCTCTTTGCACCTGTTCATGAAATCCCTACCTAATATAGTTTGTGCAATTTTGCATTCTAAATATGCAAAGTAGTTGCTACAATAGGAGATTCACTATGTTTCCATTGCTATTTCATTATGTATGAGATGTTAATCCCAATTTACTTTTCTAACTGGAAATCTTTTTTTCCCGTACAGGGTATCTTTCCTGCAAACTACATTCACTTGAAAAAAGCAATTGTCAGTAATAGGGGGTAAGTAATTTGCCTTAATAAATTTACTTATAATTATTATAGGTTGAAAAGGAAGACTTTCTCTTTTTTTGCTCATAGTATAAAATATATTATTGATAGTCTGGCAAAAATGTATGTTTATTATTATATATGATTCTGAGGACAATTTTTTTCTTAAAATTCGGACAACTTTTATCTTTTTTCTTGTATCCCGGAGAAGAAACCTTAATTTTTATTTTTATGAAAATTGTTATATATGTAGTATATTTTAAAAATTGTGCCATTTTGAGACTAGTCATTGATAGAATAGGAATTAGATATAAATCTGTTATTTTTCTTCTGTAGTCAAAATGAAAGAGACTTTTAAAAAAGTATTTTATTTGCAATTAGAAATTGAAAAAAAAACCCAGAGATATGCCTTAAGGATAAGAAGACATTATTGAAAATTCATGCATAGTTTGATCACACACTTGAAAATACCTGATTCTGATATGAAAATGCAACTATCATAATTCTTTTTAAATTTGTTGTGTTGGGGCTTGAATCCAGAGCCTCATCCATGCTAGGGAAGCGCTGTACCACTGAACTATACTCCCAGCCCCTAGCATACTTCTTGTTCTTCTTTTAACAAAATTTATAAAGCAACAAGGATGTGTAGAAAACATGCAAATCCCACATTAGTGTATCTTTGCAAGGAACAATCTGCTCCTTCACGTTTATTTACTAGGATTGTCAAATTCATAAATATTGGATAGAAATTGTGTGAAAAAAGAAAGTTTTAGATACTTATGATCAATGAAGCTTGTATTTTATAAGATGATAAAATTTTCTTTTGAATGTGAGTGGCTTATTCCAAAATTCAAAATGGTATCCTTGATTTATAATAGCAGGGTTAATAATACAAATAATCAGAGCTGAAATTGAGCAGAGACCATATAGAGTGAGGTGAGAGAAGGAATTATAAAAAATGTATACAGACACAGAAGTAGAGTGCCTCAAAAAATGCTTTTCGATTATAAAGAACTCATCTTAAGTCCAAGAGTCATGTGCCTTATTTATCATATCAGTAAAAGATTAGGGAACATTTTGATCACATAAGAATCAGTTTTAGTAAGGAAAGTGTAGAACTTATTTTGGCCATGTAAGAATTAGTTTTCATTATGGCTATACAAAGAATTATATTTGTTGAATGCAGTCTTAACCTGGTTTTGAATATAAATCTTAGAAACCTACCTAGAATCAAGTTTGTATCCAAATACTCAATATTTAATGGTACAGAATAATAGTTGTAAAATCCGTGGAAATTATTTAAAAACAGCTGTCTTCAGGCAGTGGAGAATAATTAATATAGGCAGGATCTTGACAGTTTGTGATCCTGGAGTAAAGTATGCACAAAAGGAAAGCTCCATGCTTGCTTTGGCTTTCTTCTGCAGAGAATTTTTCAATTTGTTGTGTGGTGCAGTAGAGTCCAATTACAAAGTGGTAGTCTTTTATTGCATCAGCAACATGGCAGAATATGAAAGCCTTGCCTCTCCCCATATGGATTTAACAATGTTGTGTGGGGCAGTATACTTTTAGGGCAAGTCCAAAATCTAGTGAAGAATTTGCAGGATCCCAGTGGAACACAAAATAGAGAATAGCCAATTTGAATCAGAGCAATTTCACTTTTCCCGTGTCAGCTCCTTCCACATGCTGCCAAGACAATATTTGCCTCTGCCTGAGTTTCCTCTATTTGGTCAAAAGAAAGAGTGAGTTGAGCGTCCATTCTACATCCCTGGCATTTCTGGACATTCCAGATTGGCTTTTTTTTTAATCCTGTTTCATTCTAGTTGCTAAAGTAACCTATGTGGTTAAATGTGTAGAAGCAGGTAAGAACAAAGACAAGGAGTGGGTAGCTCACTGCATATAACACAGCTCTGTGAGATTAGTGGTGCAAAACTCTTGAGATTTTGACCCTAGGAGGAAGAGGTATGAACAGAGCATGCATCCATTGTCCTGACCTTATATCCCTAAGATAAAGAGATAGATGACTTACTGTGGCCAGCATGGCTTTGGGAGATTGGGAGAAGGTGCACAACCTGAAATTCCAAGGAAGAAGTGAGGAATGGTACTTGCACAACCATAGATAAGGTTCAGAACACTCCCAGATTATCTCATGGCTGATTGGTGAGGATAATTTCCTGTTGAAGCGAGACCTTAAAACATTTTTTTCAGATGTTCACAAACAAAAGCAAAACTGCAGGGAATATGAAGGTTCTGGGAAATATGACACAACAAAAGGAACAAAATAAATATCTGATAACTTACCCTTAAGAAATAGAGTTCTAGGAAATTACCTAACAATTCAGAATAATCGTCTTAAAGAAGCTTACTGAATTACAAGAAAATAGAGATAGATAACTAAAATAAATCAGGAAAATGATGTGCAAACAATACAACTGACAAATAGACAGAAACAATAAGGGAGAAAAAAGTACCAAACATAAATTCTGGAGCTGAAGAATACAATACCTCTCCAGAAAAGTTTAATAGAACAGTGTTGTTGATCAAATAGAAGAAAGAATCAGTGAACTCAAGACAAATTACCATCTGTTCAGAGGAATGAAAAGAAGAAAGAATAAGAGAGTGAAGGAAGCCTAAGGAATGAATAGGGCAGTAGCAAACAAAATAGGATGTATAATGTGGAATTACAAGAATGACAATTGAGAGAGAAAGTGGCAAAAACTATTTAAAGAAATAATGGTTTTTGTATCCGATTCGCCAGAATTTTATTGAGGATTTTTGCATCTAGGTTCATTAGAGATATTGGTCTGTAGTTTTCTTTCTTTGAAGTGTCTTTGTCTGGTTTAGGTATCAGGGTGATGTTGGCCTCATAGAATGAATTTGGAAGTTCTCCCTCTTTTTCTATTTCCTGAAGTAGCTTGAAAAGTATTGGTATTAGTTCTTCTTTAAAGGTTTTGTAAAACTCTGCTGTATACCCATCTGGTCCTGGGCTTTTCTTAGTTGGTAGTCTTTTGATGGTTTCTTCTATTTCCTCAATTGATATTGGTCTGTTTAGGTTTTCTATATCCTCCTGACTCAATCTGGGCAGATCATATGACTTAAGAAATTTATCGATGCCTTCACTATCTTCTAATTTATTGGAGTATAAGGATTCAAAATAGTTTTTGATTATCTTCTGTATTTCTGAAGTGTCTGTTGTGATATTGCCTTTTTCATCCCGTATGCTAGTAATTTGAGTTCTCTCTCTTCTTCGCTAGCATGGCTAAGGGTCTGTCGATTTTGTTTATTTTTTCAAAGAACCAACTTTTAGTTTTGTCAATTTTTTCAATTGTTTCTTTTGTTTCGATTTCATTAATTTCAGTTCTGATTTTCATTATTTCTTGCCTTCTACTTCTTTTGCTGTTGTTTTGCTCTTCTTTTTCAAGGATTTTGAGATGAAGTATGAGATCATTTATTTGTTGTTTTTTTCTTTTTTTAAGGAATGAACTCCAAGCAATGAATTTTCCTCTTAGAACTGCTTTCAATGTGTCCCATAGATTCCGATATGTTGTGTCTGTGTTTTCATTTATCTCTAAGAATTTTTTAATTTCCTCCTTGATGTCTTCTATAACCCATTGATCATTCAGTAACCTATTGTTCATTCTCCAAGTGATGTATGCTTTTTCTTTCCTTCTTTTATCGTTGATTTTCAGTTTCATTCCATTATGATCAGATAAGATGCATGGTAATTTGCAGGGAAATGGATGGCATTAGAGCAGATTATGGTAAGTGAAGCTAGCCAATCCCTAAAAAAGAAATGCCAAATTTCTTCTTTGATATAAGGAGAGTAACTAAGAACAGAGTAGGGACGAAGAGTATGAGAAGAAGATTAACATTAAACAGGGATGAGAGGTAGGAGGGAAAGGGAGAGAGAAGGGAAATTGCATAGAAATGGAAGGAGACCCTTAGGGTTATACAAAAGTACATACAAGAGGAAGTGAGGGGAAAGGGAAAAATAATACAAGGGGGAGAAATGAATGACAGTAGAGGGGGTAGAGAGAGAAGAGGGGAGGGGAGGGGAGGGGAGGGGAGGGGGGATAGTAGAGGATAGGAAAGGCAGCAGAACACAACAGACACTAGTATGGAAATATGTAAATCAATGCATGTGTAACTGATGTAATTCTGCAATCTGTATATGGGGTAAAAATGGGAGTTCATAACCCACTTGAATCAAAGTGTGAAATATGATATATCAAGAAATTTGTAATGTTTTGAACAACCAACAATAAAAAATTAAAAAAAAGAATACACAAAACAATAAATGTTGGCAAGCATATGGGGGAAAAGGTACACTACATTGCTGGTGGGACTGGAAATTGGTGCAACCAATCTCGAAAGCAGTATGGAGATTCCTTGGAAAACTTGGAATGGAACCACCATTTGACCCAGCTATCCCACCCCTACATACTACAGAAACACAGCCACATCAATGTTTATAGCAGCACAATTCACAATATCTAAATTTTGGAACCAACCTAGATGCCCTTCAGTAGATGAATCGATAAAGAATATGTGGTATATAAACACAATGGAATATTACTCGGCATTAAAAGAGAATAAAATTATGGCATTTGCAGGTAAGTGGATGGAGTTGGAGAAGATAATGCTAAGTGAAGAAAGCCAATCCCCCAAAACCAAATTGCCAAATGTTTTCTTTGATATGTGGATAATGGAGATGGAGGGTGGATCATGAGAGGAATGGAGGAACTTTAGATAGGGAAAGGGGAGGGAGAGGTATGGGGGTAAGAAAGATGGTGGAGTGAGATGGCCATCATTACCCTAAGTACATGTATGAAGACTCGAATGGTGTGACTCTACTTTGTGTACAACCAGAGACATGAACATTTGTGCTCTATATGTTTACTATGAATTCAAATGCATTCTGCTATCATGTATAACAAATTAGAATAAATAAATAAAATAAAAAAATAATCAAACCAGCAAAAAAAAAAAAAAAGAAAAGAAATAATGGGAAAGGG